CTGGAGGGCAAAAGCGGCGCTTTAAGGACTACACCAGGGACATCCTAAAGAGAGCGAACATTCCCCCCACGCAGCTTGAATCACTGGCACTCGACAGACCTGCCTGGCATGTCACCTGTGCAACTGCAATCTCTCAAATACATCAAACCAACCAAGACCGACGATCCGAGAGGCGCTTTAAGAGACACCAGTGGGCGGCTGGTACCCCCCTGGTGTCTGGTTTCCCTTGCTCCATCTGCGGACGAGTGTGCGGCTCAAGGATCGGACTCAACGCCCACGAGAAGTGGCACCAGCGGCAAGGTCGCTAAACCCAACCCCCTCCCACCCCCACCCCCTGGAGCAAGCGTCATCATCGTACACGATGGACAGCTAAGAAGAAGAAGAAGTGTGTGTGTGTATGTGTGTGATTTCTTATTTCCTACTAGGCAAAGGAAGCAGTAGTTGAAATATAAAGACACATTTCTAAGTATTTGTTAAATATTGTTCTTTGCATTAAGAATGGGTCCAGATAGATTTCAGCCTAATAGTGATATTTCACTGAATGGCCAATTTTACATAAATGTTGTGTATTTTCAAGATACAAAATAATGTATTTATTTTTATTGCAAGTACATTTTTCATGTTTTTGTGCCCATCTAAATGGCATGTGTTCAAAATTCTGTGGATTCATGTTTTAGATTTATGGGTCTAATGTTTCACTCCTGAAATACCATCCCAGTCCAAAGTCCTGAATATAAATGATAGCCGGGAATTCTGTATCTGTTATCATTCAGCTGTAATAAGGTCTTACTGTAATGGTTATGAATTTATTGTCTATAGTGACCTTTTATGCTCTTCGGTGCAGAAGGCATTTAAAAGAAATTGTAATCATTTTATGACTAAATATACTGGATGTGCTGTAACTTTCAATCAGGCCATTTATTCTAAACATCTTATGATGCGATATAATATTTGATTTAGTTTGCTCTTTTGAAACAGGTTCTCAGATAGTGAAGCCAGTGTCCAGCATAATGGGACTCTTTCATTAATTATAAAAAGCATCTCAGGATTCACTTCATGATGCTGGATGAGAGAATAAACTGATTTTGTAAAGAGTGACTGCTTTGAAGAAGCTGAAATACAAGACTATTCATTTGTTTCTACATAATGTTCTAAATAACTCATATACCTCCACTTTTTATGATCCGAAAATGTTCAATAGTGAATGAGAAGAGGCGACTAAACTTTTTAGTACTTTGTGTTTCAAACAAGCTGCCAGATCATCATGCGCTATTTGTTGTGTCAACATCTTTCCTATCAATCCATGTGCTGTTTTCAAAATGACTTCCATGTTACGGTAGCTTGTCAAAGAGAATCATTCAATAAATAGATTGTTTCAGTGACACGTCCAGATAGGTGGTTGCCATTTACTTTTTACACAGGACAGGTTTGGAATGTCAAATGGAAAAAGAGATGTTTAGCATATAGTTGATGATAGTTTGTAATTGTATGCAAATATATTTTACTCCATTTTATTTGCTGTGCGCATTTGTGTAGCTCAGTTTCATGAAACATCAGACGTCATTTACACAAAGGCTTTTGTGTTTGATTTTACATGTATCATGCAATATTGAAATTTCAATTTGCATCTGCCTCAAGTAAACACATTCTGAACATTTTATTGTGGTTGTAATAAATATCATAAATGACCTAAATGAATTGTAAAGAGTTAATTTGAGTAATTCTAGTGATATTTTGGTAACACTTTACAAATAAGCTTTCATTTGTTAACAGTACCCCCCGTTTTCACTGACAATTAAGACTAAGCCTGTCTAAAATGCATGTTTAAACTGTCTTAACTGAAAGCAACTTCTACTGACAGGTCTTAAAATATGTCAGTGTCATTGTTTTGTCTCAATATGCACATCATTAATGTTTTTTTTTATAGGCACGTTTATAAAAGCTATTTAAATGTCCTAACTGAATCAAGGCTAAATCCTGGCTTACTCTGAACCCTGTCTGTGAACCAGGCCTACACTAATTAACCCTAATGAATACTTCTAAAGCCTTTATTAATCTTAGGTAATGTTAATTTCAACATTTATAATAAATTAAAAATAACAATATTATTTAATGGATCTGTTATTATTTAATGGACTTAAACTGAACTCCCTTTTCAGGAAAGTCAATTCACTAGGCGGCCATATTTCAGGAGTGCAAGACCGACTCCTATCTACTTGAATGAGGAGACAACAAAATGTCAAAAACTGCTTGCCAAACTCAAATTTCAATAACTTTCAAATCAGCAATAAAATCTGACATGAATCTTAAGCTCAAACTACATTAAAAAGTGTTTAAATCAACTCAACCGCATGAGTTTCAGGTTTATATGGCAACAGCAGTGACGCAATGACTTTATTGTATGCTATTGACCATTTGGGTGTTAGCAAACAGCGATGGCGTGATTTGTTGGCGGATCCTAGGTGGCAGAAAAAGACAGTTCTGCAGTAGCAGTCTGTCACAATCCCAGTGTTGTGCCTGTTTTGAATAGACTTTTATTTTGAAGTGTTCTTATGTTCCTATTGTTTCTGTGTTCATTCCTGTGTCTTCTTCCTGTGGCCCTGTAGTTTTCCCGGTTGATTATTCTTCCCCAGGTGTGTCTTGTTACTCTTGTTTGCCCCATGTATAAAAATAGCCCTTGTGTTTCACTTGTCCTCTGTCAGTTCCTTGTTGTTGTCAGTGTTATTTTGTTCCAGCTTTATGTTCATTATTGTTTCATTAAACTCCCCTGCACTTGGATCCTCATCTCTGCCTGCCTTCCTTGATTCCCCTTTTTGTTACACAGTCTTTGGAAGCCACGTGATAAAAGAATACAAAAAATAATTTTGAGTTTACATCTCACATTTCTGACTGTTTTTCCTCACAATTCCGAGTTTATAAAAAAATTAATTGTGAGCTATAAACTCGTTTTTCTGTCCTTTTTTTTTTCTCTCAGAATTGACAATTGCGAATTATACAGTCAGAATTGGGAGATATAAACACGCAACTGTGAGGAAAAAGTCCGAATTGGAAGATACAAATGTTATAGGTTTAAATATTTCATGCGGTAACTGTAGGGCTAACATTGTCACCTATGAACTGCATATGTGAATATTATGTAGACCTATTTGTTTCAATATCAAATTGATGGTTTAATAGTAGACTAATCATTGCAGGTTTCATCAGTGCAGTCCGTCAGCTCCCAAATGGTCCATTGGCAATTGGCCATTTTATTTAGTAGACGAGACTATAAAGCCGCCATACTGTTGCTTCCATTCAGGATGCTTCTCAATCTGAAGGCTGCTTCCTAGTGAGGGTGCGTTCTAGGCTAGTTCTCCTTAGCACTGAACACTATTAAGATGGTCTAGTAAGTGTGCATGGCTACGTCACAAAGGTTTCCTTCTCCCTGCACGAAGATACTATTTATCTTAATTTTGGAAAAAATACTGTATAATAAAAATCTTTGTATTAACTGACTTTCTGGTGCAATTAATATTTAGAACTATACTTGATTCTAAATATGATACATTATCATTTTACATTACACAAATACATTTTTCTATACTAAAAATGATATGATCAGTAATTCATGACAACATATGGTTTTAATTTTTTTTAAATTGATCCAATTTTAACTTCTTTTATTTTTTTTATTTTTTTTACATTTTACAAGATTCAACTTTTGTTTTTAAAAAAGAGTTGAAATGAACATCCAGTTTAAATATCCTTAAAAATGTAACGCAACTGACCTTAAGTTTTTAAGTTTAGGGGTATTTTTTTGACAGTGTATTATGTAATTAATTTACAACAAAACAAAAGAAAACACAATTCTTTTCACCATTCACAATTTCTTCATCTTTTTTGTTGTTGTCCTGTATTACACAATGCAATTGGAGATCAGTGCCAATTTTCTTTCTGCTGATATTTATTTATTTATTTTTTCATTGGAATGAAGGATTGTGGTAATTAGAGGACGTGAATGATACACGTGATGTATCCTTCAAATATTGCTGAATGAAAGACGCAAAACCGAAGGCTGCCTTCCAAGGATCCTTCAAATTGAGACGGCCTTCGACGGCTCTTGATCACAGCGCTTGATGATAAAAGATTTGGTCACACTTTATATTAGGTGGACTTAATAAGCCACTTGAAACAATACAATTATTAGAAAATAGTAGTTAAAGCCATCTAAAATAAAGTGTGACAGAAACATTTCTGATGTAGCCATGCACACTAGACCGTCTCATTCTTGTGTTTAGTGCTGAGGAGGAAGCCTCATAGCACTGGTCAATGAAGGTCAGTCTTAGGATACAGTCTTCCAATTGAGAAGCACCCACAGTCTTCACTTAAACTTGGCAGCTAGAGAAGAGATTCAAAGAGAGGTGTAATATGGGTTTAATGATTGCACATTAGAATGAAAGAGCCTGGACAAAGACTTGTGATACAATAAAATTGTCTAACTGTACTCTAAGTTTCCTTGCTGACTTTGGTTCCATTAAGATGTAAACAAAAAGTTTCATTTAGCTCTGTTTTTTTTTTTACTCATTTAAAATTCTTAATTCATAATATGAATATTACTTTCTATTCAATTTGATGGGATTTTACTATACAATTGAATTTTTTGAATTGAAAGGCTTTTTTTGTGTGTGTTGTTGTTAGTTTATGTGTGCCCATATTTTACATCAGTGCTTCACAAGCTGTCCTGACCCCCACCTCCTCACATATTGTATGTCCCCTGATTCATCTCGTCAGTTCAAAAGTAGAGACTCCAAGAGTTGAAATGGGTGTGACTGACGAGGAAAAAATACAAAAATGTGCAGAGCAGTGGCTCCATAGGGCCAGGATTGAAAACAACTGAATTTATCACTCTCATTTTTATATAACAATGTTAGTAGGCTGCTAGAATTTATTAACACAATAATTGTTTTGGAATTTTGTTTCTTTATATCTGATTATTAATGAATGTCATTTCTTCCCCTTAGGGACAAATGAAACCCGCTAATGTTGGCAATGTTCAAACTTTTCAAACAGAGACTGAATTAACATTCCAATGGGATATAGTCGACGGCAACACAAGTTACAGTTATAAACTGATGAACGGCAGTGCCCAAGTCGTTCTGATCAATGTAACAGGAACGGATCGTGTAGTAACTTATAAAGTCTCATCTCTGTCTCCTGGAACTAATTACTCCTTTACACTTTACACTGTGTTTAATGGGAATCAGAGCGATGGATATCATTTCTCGGCTGTAACTGGTGAGTCATTAAGGTTTTTGAATATATAAAGTGTTTTCTCTGTAGATCAACTTACGAATTGTGGTAATATAACATTAAAATTATCCTACATTAAAATTAAAATAGACTACAAATAGACTGTAAACCTTATATAAATATGATCATTCTAGCATTTAAGCTAACATTTTATTTGAGTTAATTGTTAATAAATGTTCCTTCTCAAAAGTTAATGTGTTCTTCACAATTTCAGCCACATGTTATCTATTTGCAAACCGCAAGTAAAACTAACTGAAACTTGTAATTAACTCTTGGATTTACTTCATTAAAAACAGTACAGAGAATACAAGTATTTAAACACTAATGCACACATAAAAATGTATGATTTTCATTACATTAAGTAACAAATTATCAAACATATCACAATTATTTAAATGAAATGCCTTTAAATGTTATTTTAAATGAAGTTATGCATGTACATAAGGAATATATATATAAGCACTGCTTATTTGTGAGATCTTCAATTATTGACAATATTGCATTTGCAATGTACAGAGGTTCAGATTTGGGAACCAGTAGCATGTTGTACACAAATGTTGCTAGAGCTTTTCTGGCTAACTTCACACAGGCTCTCGCAGTAATTCAGAACAAATACAAAGTGGTTTCATTATCTAATGTGATATGAAATATGCTTGTTCAGTCTTTCTTTAAAATAAATTTAGATTTTTTCTTGATTATTATTTTTTTTTTTAATAATGCAAAAACATTCAGACATTTGTAGATGTGATTTCTAACTGCTACAGGCCAATTTCTGTCTCTTTCTTCTTCAGATCCATCTAATGTTGGGAGTGTTTCGGTCGTCAATCGGAAAGAGACTTTTATAACATTACAATGGGAAAAAGTCGACAAACGCAACGATTACACTTATGAGCTGATAAACTGGAATAAAGACGAGCCTCCAGAACTTATATCACCAACTGATACTTTAGTGGAACACAATGTCACGTCTCTGGCTCCAGGGACTGAATACTCATTTACACTCTATACTGTGTTTGAAGATGTGAAGAGCAGTGGATACAACTTCTCCAATGTAACCGGTGAGTCTCAGTATATCTGGTCTGTTGCAAAGACCAAAGTCTGTGTGACAGACAAAACAACTGCTTCTCACATTTCTCCCAGATTCTGAATTAGGATGCTTTATACAATGTGTAACCTTGCTGAATTTTTACTGTCAATAATTTGTTATTTAATAATAAGTTTACGTTAGCAAGTTAGATATTATCTTTGTGATATCAAATCATAAAAAAACGACGCACAAGGGATGTTTCAGTGCCTGTTTTCGAGTACAAATAAACAGGACTCACATATATTATATTGTGAGCTCATAGCAGGACATTTGAGGGAGATTTACATGTTAAATATTAGATGTAAAATTTAATAAATGTCATGCATATATATAACAGATACATGCATTTAAAAAATAAATAAAAATTTGATCCTGTTTTGATCATCTCCACATTTAATCATGTTGTATTTATCTAACTGTTCCCTGGGGGACGCTGAGGCTCCCTTGGCGCCTTTTTTTTTTTTTTTTTGCGCTCTTGTTTGATTCGCGCCTGGCACTGAGGCGTTGTTCGCGTGAGCACCTGAAAAGTCTCCCGTGTGTTGTGGTCTTAAAGAGATTGTGTAACCTCTACATAAACTCAATTCTAGTCAAGATTTTAAAAAAAGACAGAAACGGCAATTGTGAGCAGAGTGGCCAAGCTTCGGCCAGTAGCATTAACATAGCCATGTTAACCCTTGTGTTATGTTGCGGGTCAATTTGACCCGTTTCGATTTTCAAGTTGTTGGAAATACTGGTTAACCTTTGTTTTTTTTCTTGATATTTTGTGACTTTTTCTCATTTATCATGATGAACATGCATGCAAAGTTTCAACATGCTGATGTGTTTTGACATATACAAACAAAATTACTGTTACGTTTGTGATGTTCACGGGTCAATTTGACCCTCATAGACAGCCATTCAAAAGCAACTGTACAGACACAAAATAAAAACATTTATCTTCTGTATGTAAGGGCACTTCAACTCCAGTTCTAACATGCAAGTGCATCTAAAAGTCCTCTAACCCTAACCAAACACACTTGAAAAAGATAAAATTACAGTGTTCAGAATTATTTGCAAATTACAGATGAAAATCTTTGTCAGACACAGACAGTAAAATAAGCTCTCATTTCAATATTCAAAATATCTAAAATACCTAGCTTTTAACCAAAACTTTTATGTAGGATTTTCAAAGGCAGCTTTACAGAGCCAATAAATAAATAAAAAACATTTATTTGATGTATGATTTTGTTATGTTTGGTTTCTCACTTCCCAGTGAGTGAATAATGAAACTAGGAAAATAGGTCTTAGGAAACTAGGGAAAGTTAACTTAGGAAAATGAAAATTTTCATTATACAGCAATTTTTTTTTGTTCAGTTACGATGTTCAAAGCATAAAATGTAAAAAAAAAAAAAAAAAAACATGCAAAAATATCAGTATACTGTTTATTTTCCAATTTTGTCAAAACAAAACTGTTTTAAAAAATGTTTTAAAAACATTTTCATAAATCATATTTTCAGATAGAGGGCCCTATTTTAACGATCTGAAACGCAAGTGTCAAAGCGTAAAGCGCAAGTAACTTTGTGGGCGGATCCCGGCGCTGTTGCTATTTTCCCGGCGGGATAAATGCCTCTTGCGCCTGGCGCAAATCTAAAAGGGGTTGGTCTGAAGTAGCTTCATTATTCATAGGTGTGGTTTGGGCGTAACGTGAAATAAACCAATCAGAGCGTCATCTCACATTCCCTTTAACAGCAGGTGCGCATGTTCTAAAGCGGATTCCTATTATAACGGCGGGTTTGCCAGGCGCGCGCCAGGAGCGGTTCACAGCCGAGGAGAGCAACGTTCTCGTCAGGACCGTAAAACACAGAGAAGTGACATTGGGGATGGAGAAACCCACCCAAATTAACTTCTGTTAAACAGGCGTATGATAATTTGGGTCTATGATCTATCTATCTATCTATCTATCTATCTATCTATCTATCTATCTATCTATCTATCTATCTATCTATCTATCTATCTATCTATCTATCTATCTATCTATCTATCTATCTATCTATCTATCTATCTATCTATCTATCTATCTATCTATCTATCTATCTATCTATCGTAATAATGTATGATTTGCAAAAATGAAAACTGCTGCTTAGATGAGAGAATCAACGTGTATGCGCGTTGTGCACACGCTACATTGATTATGGCCAAGCATGCGCCCTTAAAATTGCATAATGAACAACGCGCAACGCGCCACTGACTTTAGACTAGTTTTTTTCTGGTCAGTGGCGCAATTGTTTTATAGAACAGCAAAATAGCATGAGGGAAAGTTTGCGCTGGAACACGCCTCCTCTTTGCGCTGAACCGCCCCGGGGAGCGCAAGTGTATTTCTTAGTTTACCGACGTGCGTCTGTGGAGGGAAAAGTCCGCTTTGCGCGGGTGCAAAATAGGAATGATACATGCGTCAGTGTACAAAGTCATTTGCGCCAAGTGCAAGATAGGGCCCATAATGTTTTTGTAATGTTTGACAAATGTTGATATTAAAGGTTTACAGTTTGTATCTAAATCTTTGTTGTTTTTCATAGTGTGATTTTTGAGGAATTGTATTGAATCCAATTAGGGTCAATTTGACCCGGTCCATAAGGGAAGTACACAGAAATCGAACAGAACACACAGCCCGTTCTCATCCCAAGGCGTCATCTAACTGACGCTTTTGACCATGCTTCAACATCCGACGCACATGGCACCCTTTAGCGTCAATATGAGACGCTAACCCTACCCCAGACCTAAACCTACCCATAACGGAAGCGTCATGTAACTGACGCTAAAAACGGAAGCGTCATCTAACTGACGCTAAAGGTGTTAGATAACGCCCGAGGATGAGCGTCATGTACCTGACGCTAAAGGGTGCCATGTGCGTCGGATTTTGAAGCATGGTCAAAAGTGTGAATAAGATGACGCCTTGGGATGAGAATGCGTTGGAACACAAGGGTTAAGACTGTGGGCCCTATTTTAATTCGGAAACGCCCTAAGTGCACTTGCGCCGTGCACTTTAGACCATGCACTTTGGCCGTTTCCGAATCAACTTTTGCTAGTTTAACGACGGGAAAAATGGTCGGCGCGCCCGGCGCATGGTCTAAAAGGGTTGTCTCTTTTCTCTTAATGAGTAATGGGTGTGTTTTGGGCGTAACGTGCAAAAAAACAATCAGAGTCTCATCTGTCATTCCCTTTAAAAGCCAGTTGCGCTCACGCCATGGCGGACTCAACTATTTATCTGGCGGAATTTGCAAGGAAAACTGAACACTTCTCCAGAGAGGAAACGGATCTGCTCATGCGCGAGGTTTAAGTGACCATATACGGGACAAGCCGGATTCCACCATATCTTTATGTAGACAATAATAATCTTTTACATTGTAGTCCTTTTATTTTTAATATTTGGCATGTTTGTGTGCTGCTGTGCGTCCCTGTGTGTGTAATAAGCAGAGTGTATGCGTGTTGTGGACCCGCCTATAGGCACATATTACTAATGCGCCCTTTAAATAACAAAAAAAATAAATACTGCGAGATCCATTGTCTTTAGATCAGGTTTTTTGTTGGTCAATGGCTCAGTCTATTTCAGTTGCCTCAAAATAGCAATGCACCAACAATGTCCCTGAACACACACCTTGTTTTCAGACCAGCACGCCCATGGGCGCACAAATGGGCGCAAATGCATTTGCTATTTAAACAACGTGGCGCAGGACGTGAACTTGATAACTGCGTCGGGCTAAAACTAGCAAAAAACACTTGCTGGCGATTCATTGCATTACATACAAGATGTAAGATTTAAATAAAAAAACCTGCTGTACATAACAACAATAAGAAACACAATTAGGAAAGGGTAATATCGTTACGGATACTTTTTGTTGCAATTATAACGATACCAATATCGAAAGCGATACTGATTATTTCTGAAATGGGTATGTGATTTTTCAAAATAGTATTAATTTTTAGAAAATTAAGATAATTTCAATAAAATGTAAATCACATCTACATGACACATACTGACCATTAATAACAAATGTTTTACAAAAGCAAATATGAGCACAATTAAATAAAAACATATTTGTATCAATAGGTGTAAAAAATAATGTGATTAAATAATAATAACAATTATTTATTACAACATAAATTTGAATAAAATAAACTAAACTATCAACAACTTAAAATGTGTGCAATTTCTTAAATATTGCTTAATATATCTTCTTAAACAAGCCACAATGTTTTGCAGCACGCTTGCTTCTCATGTGCTAAATGTCAGAGGTGCTTGGTGTAAACATTAAAAAAAAGTGTACATTTTTTTATAAAAAAGATACATTAGTAATAAATAAAACACTTCAAATACTGCTTATTTGTGAGCCCTTCATGTTCATTACAGACAATATTAACATTTGCAATGTACAGTGGTCTAGAATGTATTTGGAAAGAATATTTGGATTTTAAAGGGAGCAGAGCACTTGCGTGTCATAACGCAGACGTTTTTTGTTGTTGTTTTTTGCCAAGAAAGACAAAAAAAAATTATCTATGTAATTTCCTAATTATTTTCACCTTGAATGTTACCATGATAACGCAGCATGGCGTCCATCAGTCCTTACAACGGGATTTTTTAGGCTGTTGCTTGCAAACAAATACATATTTTATAATTAAGTTTTTTTGTACTTTAAAACTTGCCGTCTCTTCTTTAGACCCTGTAGTCACATTGGTAACGCTTCCTTTTACAGTCCTGTTACCCATGCACATACTATGTACTCCTTACGTATCTACTATGAAACACATTGTAACTTATTTAAACTTATTTATAACAAAATTCTTGTATTATATCCCAAACATAACAAAATAACTTAAATTATTCTGTTTACATGTTAACTCGAACTCTCCTGCCATCTAGCTTCAAAATGAATCTCAAGGATTCACCACCCTGGGTCATATGACCATAAACAATAAGACTACTTCCTTGATGTGATGTTGCATGTACCCTTCACTAACCGATTTGTAGAAAGGGCCCTTCGTGAAGGGATTCAGGTGTTCACTGTCACTTGGTCCAGAAGTGCCCTTCAAAGACACAAAATTGGAATTCCCCAAATGCTGCTACAGCTTTTCTAACCTCACACAGTTCATCACATTAACTATCAACATGATCCACTAACATTGCACAAACACAAAGGGGTTCTATTGTATACCTACTAATATCCTACTAATACCTGTAATATCTAAAATGAAAGATGTGCTTGTTCAGTCTTTAAAATAAATGCTGTTTTCTTGATTTTTTAATGTAATGCAAAGACATTCAGACATTTGTAGATGTGATTTCCAACTGTCTGCGGCCACTGTACAGTAACTTCCAGTCAGTGAATGAACAGAATGGTAGATTAATTGATGGACAGGTGGATTGGAGCAGGTGTTAAGAAAATATAAAATTTCTGTCTCTTTCTTTTTCAGTTCCATCTAATGTTGGGAGTGTTTCGGTCTTCGATCGGAAAGAGACTTATATAATATTACAATGGGACAAAGTCGACAAACGCAACGATTACACTTATGAGCTGATAAACTGGAATAAAGTCGAGCCTCCAATACATATATCACCAACTGATCCTTTAGTGGAACATAATGTCACGTCTCTGGCTCCAGGGACTGAATACTCATTTACACTCTATACTGTGTTTGAAGATGTGAAGAGCAGTGGATACAACTTCTCCAATGTAACCGGTGAGTCTCTATACATAACTTCAGTCGACCAACACTGACACGTGCTGTGTTGGTTTAGGTTGAGGGTGTCACATCTGTGTCACATTTATCTCAGATTCCTGTTCACAAGCTGGAAAAATAACAGATACATTGCTGAAATTCTTAACTGAATTAGGATGCAATTCACTGTATACACTGTGTAACCTGAATTTTTACTTGCTCTGCCAATATTTTCACTGGCCCCACCACAAACCAATGATCAATTTTACGTTTTAGCAATGCAGTTTAATATTTGCTATTGGTCACACTTTAGATTAGGGTCCAATTCTCACTGTTAATTAACTATTAACTACGACTTTTGCCTCAATAAACTCCTAATAACTTAGTAAAAGTTAGTAAGGTAGTTGTTAAATTTAGGTATTGGGTAGGATTAAGGGATGTATGGAAATGCAGAATAAGCCATTATTAATATGTGCTTTATAAGTACTAATAAACAGTCGATATCCTAGTAATATGCATTCTAATAAGCAACTAGTTAAAATAGTGAGAATTGGACCCTAAACTAAAGTGTTGCCGAAATATTTTCTATTACTTAACTTTTCTTAACAAAAAAATATTTTCTTTGAATAAAAAAAAAAACAATTGATTATTTGCAACAAGATGGAATTTATAAAACTATAATGCAACTATAAATTCATTAAAAATCATACAAACACTTCTTAATTGGTTTACAGTTTTACCAATGCTGCCAAGACAAAATACTTTTTGCAATTTCGACTAAACCTTTGTCAGTTTTAACAAGCTAGATAACTTATCTTGGTGACAAATCAGCTGAATTTGCAACACCATGTGTTTAAGTTTGCAAGGCGTAAAAAAGTTCTGTCCTCATTGATGTCCAAGATCAATTAATGTAAAATCTTCAGTGGCATTGTAAGCATGTGTGCCGAAACGGCAACTGGCCTCAATCTGGCCCCAATTGTCAGCAATAAATAAAAAAATATGCTGGTTGTTGTCTCAGAGTTAAGAGTTCCATTAATGTGCTTAATCCCGTGGATTATTAACTTACTAACTCTGTAAACGATGGGCTTGTTGTATAACATATCTTGTCAGGATTAATCTTTTGCCTGTTTAGGGTCATTGTGTTTTGGTTTCGTTTCCCCTGCTCCTGTTTCGCCTGTGTTGGTCATAAGTTTCTGATTAATCCGGCACCTGTTTCTTTTCTGGTTTATTAACTCTCCTTAGTTAAACTCGAGTTGTTTGTTCTGCCTGGTTGGTGTTATTGTGTAGTTGCTGTTTTGATTCTTCTGCATGTTCTCCCTGTTTATTAAAAGACTCTTGATTCTATTTGGATTTGTGCGTTTTTAACTACACCTGACAAATCTCACTATATCTGCTTTTGTTTCAGTGCCATCTAATATTGCAAATACACCAACAGTGGTCGATTTCAATGACACCGACGTGATCTTTCAATGGACCACGAGCAACAAAGCATACAACTATTCTCTTGAAAGAAGCAACACATCACGTGAATACATTTATAACATTGGAGAAGGGATTAAGGTCACATGTCATATAAATGGTTTAATTCCTGCAACAAACTACAGCTTCACTCTGTACACAGAGTTTTTTGATGTGAGAAGTACTGGATTCACATTCAGTCACACCACGAGTAAGTCTCCTATTCTTTGCATTATACTAATAATGGACCACATTAGCAGGGTTGGGCAAAAGTCAAAATGAAAGAATCAGCTTGCATTCAATTCATGATTTGGCTTTTGAATTTGCTACAACACACATGATTTCGAATTGAAGTTTACTTTAAATGCAGTTTAAAGATATTCAACACAACAGAGGGATTTCATTTGTCCAAGACAAGACTTGTAAATAATTACATACATATTGATCTGACAGCAGTTTTGTGAATTTCTTTCGATTTCATTCAGTTTTAATTATGAAATAAAAATCCATTTTGTATTGCAATTCTTCATCCGGTTTGCCTCAGTTCAGATTCAGATTCTCAACTCAATACTGAATGGTGCACAACCCTGCCACGTACCAAATTATCAGTGATGAATTTGAGAGGAATGTACCTTATGTTCTACAGTATTTATATTAATTACTATCAACTCTTGTGGAAAATGTATCTCTTCATAGGTCTATCTCGCGTAACTGAAGTCATATTCACTCGATCACAGACACAGTTGAATATCACGTGGAATAAGTTGAACAAAAACAACATCTACGACTACATCTTGAGTGAAAGTGATGGAAATGAGAAACGTTACTATGGATCTTCTGAGGGAAATGAGTTTACACATATTTACTCATCCCTCACACCAGGGACAGTATACAGTTTTACTCTCTACACTGAGGTGAATGGTCAAAGAAATGGGTCCACCATCAAGAGCATCACCAGTAAGTTTTGATAGCATTACTCTGATTTAGCTACTTATTTGAAAAGCAAATAATGAATTCTAATTGAGTAAAGCTTGCTAGTCATGGAAAGAAATGACTTGTGTGGTTATAAATGCTTGAACAATATACCAAACATTTTGGTAACACTTCACAATAAGGTTTAATAAATCATCTATTAATCTTAGTTTGTTAATTTCAACATTTACTAATACAATATTAAAAATAAAAAAGTTATATCTGTTAATATGATTTAATGGCCCTGAGCTCACATGAACTAACAATTCAATTTGTTTTTGACTAATGTTAATAAAGAATAAGACATGTATTGCTCATTGTTAGTTAATGTTATTGCATTTGTGTGCATATTTCATTGAATAAAAAAAAAAAATCTTTTTAAGACCACAAGGTTAAGACTCCAGCTGAGTTTGAAATATGTTTTTTTGTTTCTGCAGCCATTAACTGTGTGTCCTTTAAGTGGGACGTCACCAATTCATCTATAGATGCTCAAGTGATTGGTAGCACACATGTAAAAGCTAAAAGCAGAACCAGCAATGCTACAATTCTCCCTGTAGTGGACAACAGGGTGAATCTGCAAGAGCTTTATCCTGGAGATAACTACACTGTCTCACTGTGGTATTATTTGGACTCAGAGAAACTCCTACAGTGCTCACATCTCCTGACGTTAGGTGAGTTTACATGTTCTGTTTTGGACTGTGCCGCTGACCGGCTGATATTCAGTATAATTTCTTTGTTTTACTGTCCTTCTGTTTCTCTTTCAAACTAGTTCCAAATAGTGTAGTTCGTCTTCGCTGTGATCATTTTTCTGGAGGATATGGTCTGGCTGTAATTTGGGATCCTCCATATGGAGTTGTGGATGTGGTGCAGGTGGACGTTGATAAACAACGTTTCATCCTTACTTCAAACGCATCACAGAGACAGGAGGTAAAGAGCCTGCAAGCTGCCCAATGGTACAAAGTGACAGCGACATCATTCTCTGGAGCCATGAAGAGTCAAACAGAATCACGCAACTGTCAAACTAATCCAGCAGGTAAAATAAGGTCTAAATATGTTTAATAGGTTATAAGACGGTCTTTAATCTACAGAAATATCTCAGGTTAAATACAACGTAAAGGAATTGTTTATCTAAAATGATTGTTCTGTCATACTCACCCTCATGTTCCAATCCCGTACGATATCATTCTGACTCTCATGAGCTCTCATGGATTTTTCACTGAATAATGACTTAAATTTTGGCATATTTTTCACACAGTTGCTCTCATGTGACTTCAGAAGACTTAGAAGTCCCACTTTATAGGTGTCTTTAACTACTATGTGCTAACATTTAAATTGGGATCAGTTGAGCAGGTTTATCTTCTCAAAGTATCAGCCAAAACTAAAAGAGGAATAGGAAGTAGCCTATTATTAACATTCAGCTAGATTAAAGGGGTCATATAATTTGCATACAAGTTAAAGCTGCAGTCCGCAGTTTTTCCTCTTTGTCGCCATCTCTGTTCGAAATCTGCAATTGCAGTTATTCGCGGAATTATCAACTTTACATGAGTTGTACTTCGACACGGCTCAGCGCGGATGAACACAATGTTTGAGGAGAGTGTGAGGCTGTCAGTCACCCCGCCGTTGTGGATACTGGCATTCAGAATCACAGATTATACTTTTTGGAAGTATGACCAACATAAGAATTTTTACCGGAAAATGTCATCTGAACAAGTAAGTAACATCCACTTTTTTTCTGATTCTGACATTGCAGTAAATCGCGCTGATTAAATCTAACACTCGCTTATCATATCACGCAAAACCGTGCAAATTATACGTTGTTCTCAAATTGTTAATGTTAACAACGTCAGCATTGCTTGACTACATGTAATGTCCTTCCGATATGTATCCTTGTTTTCACATGGGCCGGTTGCAGTCTCTTTTTTTCTGTAGCCACTCCGAAGTCCGAACGAAGTCTTTTGCATTTTACACCAGGTTAATCTCCAGTTGTCACTGGTGATTGCCGTTTGAACCTTTCTGGATCCGCCATCAAATTGATAAGTTTAATTATATCAAGTTCTGTGAGAAAAGGCTATAAATCTCCACCTCCAACATCCTCACACGTAATATAGCCTACTAGCCGAGACTCCTTCTTTATGTGTACAGATGTGTTTGTACAGATGTGTGTGTGTGTACAGATGTGACGTAATAACGCAAAGACAAGCTCGAATCTCCCGCGGAAATCCACCAGTACCACTGGAATTAAAAACATTATACAAGCTTACCGCTTTGAATCGAGCTAAGGCAAGCAGATAGCTTTGAACACTGGCTGGTTATGTATTTTCTCAAAAATGTATTTTAGAAACATTTTAACCCCCCCAAAAAAGCTACGGACTGCAGCTTTAATATGATTCTTTTGGGTCTAAATGAAAAGTTTGTAATATACTTTAATTAAAAATTCTCATTAGTATTGTAAGAAAACTAATTTTACCTGGTCAAAAACAGCTCTGTTTTCAGCACGCCGTTTCAGTGCATATGACTTTAAATGATAATGAGCTTTGCTCACTCCACCACTCTGTCCTTTGGGGCGTTTTGACACAACACACGTGGAGTGTTGCCTTGACAACAGCTGAGGGTATATTTTGGAGAAAGAATGGCAGCGGGAGTCTTTGAGGACACATCTGTGCAACCGTATCAATTAGATTTTTTGACATTACTTCTTAATCAGTAACAGACACCGTTATAAACCACCTACAAAAGTAAGCTTAGTGTAGTGTTACCATGTTAACTTTAACACCTGCGTACACAGTATGTAATAACACAAAAACCATAACGCGTTGTTCATTATAAACTTGGGATTGTGAATTATATTGAGAACGTCGTACATAGAAAACATGCCGTAATGTAACTTACCCTGAGTGTAAACCTTAGCGGCATTCATCGTAAAGCGTGCCAGCGATTTGCAAAGATTAATATAAAGGTTAATAAAACTTTACACTCACTTCTTCTGGAGGTGCAGCAGGAACATGAATAGTTGGTACCGATTCTTTTTTCAGGAGCAGCTTCTTAGCAAAACCAGCTTATACTGACCCTCGTTTATAAAGCAGTCTGGTGAGAAATGATTCGCGCAAACATGAAAGCATTGACGTTAATCGTGGGGAATATTCCCTTCGAAAACAAAACTCAGCCACTGCGTCTTCAGCGTTTCGGATTTAGGAACAACAAAATGACTGCTGTGTTCGTTATTACACCCAAGAACAGAACATCACAATTGCTTTGAACATTGAACATCACACATTTCAGTACAATCAACTTGTAAAAGTGCATGTACCATTATATGACCCCTTTAATAAATGCTACAGTATTTCATGATACCAAGAAGTCAAACCACTTCTTGACATTTGTGATGGCAGTGCTCAGGAGACTTTGAGCTCCTCTTTGACATTATATTTGTATCAAAAGGAGAAAGATGCCGTTTTATCAAATGTAAAGAACTCTCTTCTGACTGAACTTGACCATAAATACTTTATGATGGCATATAAATCAGTAGAGGTCTATCTCTAGGTTCTAGGTTCTTCATCCTTTATTGAGGAGACAAGTTTGCACATGTGGACAAATTATCAATCATTCTTTTCCTTATTGTTTTTCAATATGCGAGTGTGACTATCTAATCGATTAAATAGTCTCCATGATAAAATATTTAACAGTGACTCAATAAAATGCATTGAGACTTATGATAAGCTACCATGTGTGAAAGCCCATTTTCACCACATAAGAAAACAAAAATCATGCTCTGGAAAGTCATAATTATGACAAAAAGTAAAAATTATGACATACCAAGTCATAATTATGACATACAAAATTGAAAATATGACTTAAAAGTCAAAATAATGAGATATATAATTTTTTTTAATTATGAGATTAAATTTTTTTTAATTATTATTTAATGTCAAAATGATGGCAAGTAGAAATTGACATACTAAATCAAAGCTATGACATTCTAAATCGAAATTATGACACAATGTTGAAAAGTATGACTTAAAGGATTAGTTCACTTTTAAAAAAACTTTTGCTGATAATTTACTCACCCCCATGTCATCCAAAATGTCTATGTCTTTCTTTCTTCAGTCGAAAAAAAATTAAGGTTTTTGATGAAAACATTCCAGGATTTTTCTCCATATAATGCACTTTGCTGGGCACCAAACGGTTCAAGGTCCAAAAGACAGTTTCAGTGCAAACTGCAAACTGTTCAAATGGCTTTAAACGACACCAGACGATGAATAAGGGTCTTATCAAGCGAAACGATCGCTCATTTAAAAAAGAAATAACAAAGTTTAAGTTTTATAAGCTCAAATGCTCGCTTTGCTCTGTTCTGTGTGACTCTCCTGTTCGAACTCGTTCATCAAAATGAACGAATCTTTTTCCGAGTCAATTCGTTCATTTCGTTCTTTTTTAAATGAGCGATCGTTTCGCTTGATAAGACCCTTATTCATCGTCTGGTGTCGTTTAAAGCCATTTGAACAGTTTGCAGTTTGCACTGAAACTGTCTTTTGGACCTTGAACCGTTTGCTGCCCAGCAAAGTGCATTATATGGAGAAAAATCCTGGAATGTTTTCATCAAAAACCTTAATTTCTTTTCGACTGAAGAAATAAAGACATGGACATCTTGGATGACATGGGGGTGAGTAAATTATCAGCAAAAGTTTTTTTTTAAAGTGAACTAATCCTTTAAATTGAAATTATGACTTAAACGCATAATTATGACATACAATGTCGAGATTGCCATAGAAGTCAGAGTTATGAGATAAAAGTCAAAATTATTATTTAAAAAGTAAAAATTTAAGTCAGAATTGACATAATAAATTTAAATAATGAGATAAAAAAAAATTATGACTTAAAAACTGTAAATTATTATTTAAAAAATATAAACTGACAATCAAAATTATTCTAAATCCAGATTAAAAAGTAAATTATGACTTAAAAAGTCAACATTATGACATAAAATGTCAAGATTATGCCATAGAAAGTTAAAATTATGAGATAAATTGAAATGACATAAAAATAATAATTATGAGATGTGTTGGAAACTTTTCCTTTGACGAAGCAGAGACCAGGAGACGTTTGGATATCTTTCAAGCAGAAGTTATTCTTTATTGAGGAATTCGCAGTGCGTCGCTGCAGTCATTTAAGTCTAACTAATGGCGCTTTTCCACTACACAGTACCAGCTCGCCTCGGCTCGGCTCGGTTCGACTCGACTCGCCTTTGTTTGGTTTTCCACTGTGTAAAAGTTGTACCTGTACCTGCTTTCGGGTACTTTTTTTCGTACCACCTCCGGCGAGGTTCTAAGCGAGCTGAGGCGAGCTAAGCCGATACTAAAATGTGACGTGAAAACAATGCCGACTGCTGATTGGTCACAGAGAATCTGCGTCATCATTGCACGCGCCAGATGGAGTATCCAGAATAACCCCGGCATTTTTAAATTGTTTGGCCAGAGATAGTTACTAAACTTACTACTATTATTATGGCAACTCGGAAGAATACGCCGTGGTCAAACGAGGAGGTGCAGACATTCCTTTGTTTGGTTGCCGAAGAGAGGATCCAGCGAGAGCTTGATGGGGCAACGAGGAACGAAATGCGTCGCTATGACGACCGGGTACTATTTGTGGCGGTACTTTCTGCAATGGAAAACGGAGCGAAAAGCGAGCCGAGTCGAGGCGAGCCAAGGCGAGTCGAGTCGAGTCGAGTCGAGCTGGTACTGGTAATGGAAAAGCGCCATAAGGGAACTTTACATTGTAGTTTATATACCTTTCAAGGGGGAGGGATTTACAGGTGGCATGTAAATGAAGTACAGGAGTCAGCCCATTTCCCCAAACCTGATCTCATCAGCATAACAGTGTCATTCAAATGCATAGATGCTAATCCAATCAGCCTAACTATTCAACGACTGGGCCAGGGGCTCCGAGAGCCATTAAAGACAAAGGGTGAGAGTCTCAGTAATCTGACTCATCTGAGAGAAGAGGACTGGCAGGAATCTCTTGCTGGAAACTCTGATATAATCATCATTTATACCTCAAATGCTAAATTCAGTCTACTAAACTTTCTCAGTTTATATACTATTGTACTGGAACCTAAATTAAACATTTAATAAACTTGTAATATAACAGATAAAAAGTTAAAATTACGATGTTAAATTTCCACTTTTTTCTAATTGACTTGTCATTATTAGCATAATTTCCTCATTAATTTCAACATTGTATGTCATAATTTTGATTTTTTTATGTCATAATTTTTACTTGCAATTTTTTATCTCATAATTATGATTTACCAGAGCATGATTTTTTGTTTTTCTTGTGGTGGATGGGCTTCCATAATCATGAGTCAAACAGCCTCAAAATTGTATATTTGGGTTAGAAGCAAGATCAAACGTTCCTGCAAGAATTGACAGTACAGTATGTTCAACATAGAATCAGATTAGAGGGCTGAAGGTAAAATACTGCAAATTGTTCCTTGGCCCTCTGCATTTGGTCATTCCGATGATGGATCTCCATATTAACATATCAATCATTTCTGCCTTTAAACCCCCTCAGGCTTCAGTTGAATAGAGCTTCACCTTGTATTTAACCTGCAATATTCCTTTAAATCTTTGAGATATTAAGCTGTCACATAGTTGACCAATGTATTGACATGTGCACTGTTTGTTTCTGTCCGTGTTCTGCAGGAGTTATAGCAGGTGTCCTTGTGTTTTTCCTGTTGGTCATCATTATTTGTGCTGCAGTCTTTTTATGGCTCCGCTATGGTTCTGCAAAGCGTAATAAGTATGATTTTGATTTATAGTAATGGGGTTTATTGTATATTAAAATGCAATAGAAGCTGTATTAGTTGTATCTCTAATGTCTTTTCTCATCTTTAGTAGTTCCAAACCACTAGTGGAGTCAAAAGTGACAAAAAAAAACTACAAGTATGTGTTCAATCAGACTTTTTTTTTGTTTTAAGTGTGCATTAAGTGTCCACATGCTTTTGGGGCCACTGTAAATGATGTTATTGTAGTGTGAAAACAAACAATTGTTTTTCAGACCGATCCCCGTGGATACATTTCCTGAACATTTTCGAAACATGAGTTGTGATGAGAACAGAGGTTTCAGTGAGGAATATGAGGTAGGGTTAGCAAATTTGAAATATAAGAGTAACATTTTTTTGTAATTGCTGTTGCAAAGTATTCAAACACTGATAATGTATTTCTGCTTACATGTAAGAATCATCAAGGTAATTTTGAAAATTGACAGTGTTCGTTGAGAATGTTTTTATTGGATATGTTTTTAACAGGACTTGAGTTCAGTGGGTATAGAACAGTCAAGTGCTGCGGCTGATCTGCCTGAAAACAAGGACAAAAACAGATTTTCAAATGTTTTACCTTGTGAGTGTTTTACACACACACACACACACACACACACACACACACACACACACACACACACACACACACACACACACACACACACACACACACACACACACACACACACACACACACTGGTGAACCTATCATTATGAGGACATTACGTAGGCGTAATGATTTTTATATTGTACAAACTGTTTATTCTATCCCCTACACCTACCCATCAGAGAAAACCTATGTATTTGTACATATTTAATAAATAAAACATTTTTTAGTATGTTTTTAAACCATATTTATTACAATGTCCTCATAAACCACATTTACATTGTAATAACAGTGTAATACCCATGTCATTATACAACATATGTGTCCTCATAAATCATAAACAAGCACAGACACACATTTTATGGGGACTCTCCATAGACATAATGAATTTTATAGTGTATGAACAGTATATTGATAACACTTTAGAATACTGTTCCGACATTAATGAATAACCACAGGGACAAATGAGTAACGCACTATCAATGGCACTATTCTATCCCCTAACCCTCCATAAACACAACACAGAAAACATTTGCAACTTGATATATTTACAAAATAATATTATTTAATATGATTTTATAAGCTGTTTTCCTTATGGGACCAAAAAAAAAAAATGCCCACAAGGTACAAAATGATTGGTATTAATATCTTTGTGGTTTGTGGGGGCATTTAACGAACCAGGACCACACACACACACACACACACACACACACACACACACACACACACAATATTACCGCATAGATTTTCAATTCATTTTATCCTTCTCTCTCTCTCTTTAGATGACTCCTCCAGAGTGCATCTCACTGTAAATGATGAAGAGGATTCTGATTATATTAATGCCAGCTACATGCCTGTAAGTTGTACCGTATATATACTAGTTAACATCAGCTGTAAAATGCCCCTGGTGGACTGAGTTTTGTTTATGATGTGTATTTGTATATCAGGGATATGGTAATGCAAGCAAACAGTACATCGCTGCTCAAGGTCCGCTGCCATCCACCGTCAATGACTTCTGGAGAATGGTGTGGGAGAAAAGGTCACAGGCAATCGTCATGGTAACCAACTGCACTGAGAGTGGAAGGGTGAGGTTATGTTCAGAATACTGCTTACTGTATATAAAAACATTTTTAAACAGTATATGAAACTGTACATCATATGGTGAACAGTATTATGCTACATTCTTGTTGCATCAGGTTTAATGCAATGTTTGTTTAGCATTGTATCCAATTCTGTGTAACAATACAGTGTTTCACACAGTGGTCTGGATCTAAACTTTCTATGGTTTTCAACACTACTGCAGATTTGCCATCTGCACCTGGTGCAGTTATTTTTTAAATCATTTTTTATTTATTTTTGTCTGATTGAACTCCTCTAGGTCAAGTGTGAGCAGTACTGGCCACTGGACTACTCGCCTTGTCTCTATGGAAACCTGGTTGTGACTGTGAAATCAGAGGATAAAGCTCAAAGTTGGACTCTGCGAGAACTTAATATCAAAAATGTGAGATATTTCTATCGCTCTTTTTTGTGACAATAAAATAATAATTTGTTACATTAATATAGCGCTTTTCTGGGTCCTCAATTTCTCTGACCCTGCTAATATTTTTTTTTGACTGATTTCACACCTTTTATAAACACCCCCTTCACATGTAATATAAGCAGCAGCACTTTTCCCTCTGCAGGCTTGCTGTTGGGTGAATATTCACGTGACATATTGAAATCTTTTTCTGGGTCCATGTATACACCGTGAGTGTATATTAGCACTGCTTGTTTGGATCTGATCACAGCGTTTGCACCCAGAAACGGTGAAGTGTGACGTCATATTTAACAACCGCCCCATTCTTCGTCAGTGTTGGGTAAAGTGACTTTTAAAAGCAATAAACCTGGCTTTAGTTAAATAAGGACATTTAAGTAGCTATTATAAACTTGCCTGGTGTGCATCTTAAGACAAAACAACGGCACTGACATATTATAAGATATAAAATGTTAAGTAAGCTCAAACATGCATTTAAGGCTTAAGCCTTGCCTGTTAAACCGGGCAATAAAGTATATTAATATTTATTTATTGAAGGTTTGTGTTAAATTGAGTTTGCATTTCACTGTTTTTAATCATTTTGAGGATTACTGAATCTGTTTTTGTGCAAGTAAGATGAGTAAATGATCACATTTAGTCTAGAACTATAAGCGTCACACAGACAGCGCACACAACGTCTCTGCACTTACTTCCGATTTCTCTCAACATGGGGACAGGAGAGGTCTCAGTCAATAAATGGGAAAACAAAGGAACTTGCGTTACTTATTTGAAAATGTAACTCCAATATTTTGGTAGAAATTTAAAAGTAATGTGTTATTTTACTAGTTACTTGAAAAAGTAATCTGATTACGTAAATTGCGTTGCTTACCCCCAGCATTGTTCATCACATTGCCATTATTTTATTGTGACAGATTTGAGCTAAAACATCTGTGCTAAACTGTGCCGCTAAAGCTGGTGTAGCAGCGGCAGTAAATATAATTTGACTACGCCACCCCGAGGTCTAACCCGGGGAACTGTAAGTAACCACCAAGACTTCTATAGAATTAGGCAATCAGGTTCGCGCACTGAACAAACAGAGAAATGGTTCGTACAAAGGAATACAATTTTATTAATCAAATTCACAGCAAAAATAGTAAACACTCTGAAAAGCTGACGTCAGCGTATTCTTAAAACACTACACACTGGGTAAGAATCAATACCACATCACAGCACTCCAATGGGGATCAAATAATTAATCATCAATAAAACACAATAATAAATAACACACAAGGATGTGTGAATCAGTGTCCGGACATAGAGTATATTTCACACACGCACACTCACAATACCGGGCTTGAGGCTTACTGGTGGGCGTCCAGCGACTCGGGCATGAGTATCCAAATAATCCACCCCAAACGCACGTGCACAGCCACACAACCAGCACAGCAACGGTCACACTGTGAAGGGAACCACACTACACACTAAAGAGGGCCCACCACCTCGAGCACGCCGTCCCCACCGTCAGCTCTCAGCGCCGCCACATATAACAAAGACAGAATAAACAAAATTAACGATAAGTCATAATTTCACACCATAAATCAAACTAACAATGATGACAAAGACAAAAAAAAAAAACAAGAACTTTTCCAGAACGGCAACAAAGAAAATGAGATAGAGGAAAAAAACAACAGTAATACTTTTAAGTCAAATAAACAAACAAAAACATGGAATAACCATGCACACCAACAACAATGCAGATAAATGAAATACACAAAAAGGCAAATTAAATGACTTTACCAAACAACTATAATACTGGCAAATGAAATAACCAAAGAAACTAATGAAATTACTTTACCAAAACGACTATAGTGCTGGTAAAGGAAATAAACAAAGAAGCAAAATGAAAGTACTTTACAAAACGATTATAATGATGGTAAATGAAATAAACAAAAAGGCAAATTAAATGACTTTACCAAACAACTATAATACTGGCAAATGAAATAACCAAAGAAACAAATGCAATTACTTTACAAAACGATCATAATGCGGGTAAATGAAATAAACAAAAAGGCAAATTAAATGACTTTACCAAACAACTATAATACTGGCAAATGAAATAACCAAAGAAACAAATGAAATCGCTTTTAGAAAATAAGAACGCACAACCCACTCAAATGATCACATAACAAACACACTCATCCGTTGATACACACATCTGAGGGCAGATACTCAGTCGGCCACACAAGTGGCCTATGATGCAGTTTCCTTGAGCAAAAATGAACTCAGTCCATTAACTTGGACTCGCCGTAAACAAGTTCGACACGTAGGGGGACGTGCAGTAACAGTATTTAAGCAAAGCAGCAGTTGCCCCAAGGCAGGCCGCAAACGCTTCCTTGCTATAGTAGCTATCCCTAAAACACACAATAATGGTTTTATTAAGCTACCGCCCAAATAAGGCAAATACATTACCCAAATGGGGAAAACTTACCTGAGCCACAGCGCGCGACACACACATCTCGCAGGCGAGTCAACAAACAGGCGAGTAACACGTTATTCCGTTCAACTCAATGGAAAATGGGTTAGCCGCAACACAAGGAATTCTATGAAAAATCGGAATCCCACATAAACCACAAGCAAACTAACACAGTACAACATTTGCAATAGACCTCTACATACCTGCAACACCACCAGGAACTGGGTGAACCCAAACAACACAAGCCTACAACGTCACGCACTGCCCTAGAGGGTACGTTTCAAGCTTTAACCTCCTCCTCCTAACATGATTGGCCACCACGGACTCACCACAAGCCAATCACGAACCGGATAGGAAGGACAACAGCCAATGTAACCAAATGGGGAGGAGGGACTGGATTCAACCACAGTCCATCCTGCCACAATCTACCCGGCCTTTTTAAGTCGGCGCCACGACGATGGGCCACCAGAAAGACAAGGCATGTGAACCATTTGTATCAATGAAACAGTACTTTGTCTCCCTAACACACCGATCTTGGGAGATGGTGGAGGTTTGAATGTTGTCCAGCCGTTGACCGGGAGGTCTGACGTGCTCTTACTTCCGTCCCATCGGAGGAGTTAGGCAACACAGCCACTCCAGGGAGTGGAGAGCCACCCACCTCCACTGGAGGGGCTAAAAGGGGCGACGTACTGTGATCGTTATTGGCTGACCCTGTCGCTGGAGACTCAGACGCCAGCCGAGAAGCTGGCCAGCCCTGGATCATCAAGTCATAATCGCCCAGCCATTCCTCCTGCCTGGCTACATGTGAAGTGAGTGGCTGGGCGACAGTTTGGTCAATAAGAGGAGGCATTGGCACATTTTCGCAAACCACCGGTTTCAACAGGGAGCGATGCACATGACGAGCCTTGCTCAGGTCACTTACTGGTGCCACGGTATATACCGTGCCACCCTCCTTCGGTACTCTCAGTACCTGGTGCATTACTGAGCTCCACATGTCATGAATTTTGTGGCGCCCCCTCACACTGAGGTCACGGTGATATACTAACTGGCCCTCCTGTAAAGGTGCCTCGCGAACTCGCTGGTCATGGTTTGTCTTACGGCGTGTAGCTGCTGCTTGCAGCCGCTCTCTGGCTCCATGAAAGGCAAGTTGCAACCGAGCCTGATGTTCTCTGACCCATTCGTGAACCGTGACACCAGAGGGCTCAGGGACATTACCTAATAGAAAATCCAACGGCAAACGTGGTTCTTGCCCGAACATCAAGAAGAATGGTGACTCTCCTGTGGCCTGGTGGGGAGTGGTGTTATAACAATACAGGATTTGGGGCAAGCAAGAGTTCCAGTCTCTTTTTTGTGAGACTGGTAAAGTTCGTAACAGGTTGTGCATGGTCCTATTAAAACGCTCGCACTGCCCGTTTCCCGCGGGGTGGTACGGAGTAGTGCGCGTCTTCTGGATTCCATATAAACCACAAAGCTGCTGAATAAGCCCATTTTCAAAACTGCGGCCCTGGTCCGAATGTATTCGGCCAGGGACCCCAAACTTTGAAAACCATTCCCCCACCAGTACCCGTGCCACTGTAGGGGCACGTTGATCGCTAGTCGGGACGGCCAAAGTATACTTGCTAAAAATATCAGTCATTACCAAGACATTCTCCTGCCCACTCCTAGCTGGCTCTAGAGTAGTAAAATCAATTGCCAAGATTTCGTTGGGTCGCCCCGCCAGAAGGTGGCCCATGAAACTCTGTGCAGTAGGATGATTGTCTTTGGCAACCTGACATCTTTCGCACAACTGGCACCAACGTGCCACATCCGAAGCCATACCTGGCCAGAAGCACCGCTGCCGTAAAAGCTCCAGGGTCCTTTCGGTTCCCTGGTGGCCATGCTGCTGATGGGCCTGTGTTAGTACTTCTTTTTGCATGGCCTCGGGCAGCAACAATTGCCATACTATTTCTCCCCCGTCTGAACGGAAGACCTTACGGTAAACCACACCATCCCACTCAACCAAACGATCCCACTGTTTAAGCAGGGCCAGCGTCTGTGGTGAAACCTGTTTGCGCTCTTGAGGGCTGGGTCGTTCCCCCCTCCTCCAAAAGACCAAAGCTTCCTGAATGGTAGGGTCTGCCTGCTGAAAAATAGAAATCTCCGCCGGTGTATGAGCCGGTAGAGCAGAGATGGCCAATTGCGTGACCTTTGTCAACCCGGACTGTAACACCTGTTGCAGTGGTTGAGGGAGAGTAGTGCCCGGGACTATAGCTTCTATGGTTTGGGAGTCTGGTAAATGCAGCCTAGATAGTGCATCTGCATTTTTATTACTCCTCCCCGACCGATATTTGACTTCATAGTCAAATGACGCCAGTTGGCCTAGCCAACGCTGCTCTGTAGCACCAAACTTCGCTGAGGCCAGATGACTCAGTGGGTTGTTGTCTGTATAGACCGTGCATTTGTGACCCAACAGATACTCACGAAACTTTTCTGTCATGGCCCATTTAAGGGCCATGAACTCCAGTTTCATGGAGCT